CCTATTAAAATCAAAATAGTGGACATGAGTTGATTTGTCGGACATTTCAAATGCTTATATTAGCGCATTCCGGGTATTTTTTTCTTAATTCGGCGGGCGGAGCGTAAAGCATAAAAAGAAAACTCCCAACGGCAAAAAGCAACGAGCTTATACAAATAAAAGACCTAATAAAATCGTCAAATTCAAGTATCTCTGCTTTGTAAAGCAGGCATTAAGTATTCATGATTTTCCCTTTACGAGCACGTCTCACCCATCCAATCCATCTTCCGAGAACGATAACAAAAATGAGAGTGGAAAGAAAGAGAATGAAAAGAAGAGGCGCGAGTGCCCGAGAGCAGCGATCGTATAGAGCGTACAAGCACGGACGGACGGACGCACGCACGCACGCACGCACGCACGCACGCACGCACGTATCCCTTCAAAAAATCGACGACGTTGACAGCACGGGAGTCCGGCTAACGTGCTTACACACGCTTAACCACTCACCATTATTGCGAGGTCGATCGCCTCCGTCGTCAATGACTTCGCGATAGATGGCTTCACGCTTCCTTCCCTCGTCTTCATCCAGAGTCGTTGCCGACGCCGTCGCCGTCGCCGTCGCCGTCACCCTCGTCGTCGCCGTCGCCGTCGGCCTCGCCTTTGCCGCTCTCGTGGTGCTCGTCGTTGCCGTTATTACCGGCTCAATGTTCTTCCCATGCTATGTTAAATAATGCCGAATGACAATGACGTAACTAGCTAATTTTCGTTAAATGCAAGCGATTATTTCGTCGACACTTGGCATTGTCGGTGCAATGGCCCGAGATTGAAATCACCAAATGAGAATAACCTGCGTTGCTTGAATCCAAAACAATAATTTGATTTTATTGCATTTATTAGTGTCACTGCTCGTGTGACGCTCCTTGATATTTAAGAAATAAATGTTATTAACGCGAGAGTGAGATATTAGAGCTTTAAAAGTTATTTGCACTCTACATGTGGACAGCATTGAGATATTATAATTGTCGCTATTGCCTTCGTGTAGGTGGATTGCTTCGACGAAAAATATCATTTAAGGCTGAAAATTCGTTGACGGTATATTTACGTATAGTTAGTCCTCGTAGTTGTAGTATACGGCGAGTCGCCCCTCCCCTTTCGGCCGACGAGGCGATTAACAAATTCGGCCCCCGTAAATTTATAAAGTGGAGGAGAACAGTCGCGTTACAATCATCGGCACAGCATTAATTAAAATTTTCAAGCTGTAACGAGTGGAGGAGGCATCTAGTGACTGACTTGCGTAAAAAATCGGGCGAATTTCAACAAAAAATAAATAAATAAAAAAGTAAAAAAAAAAAAATAAGAAATAAATAAATAAATATTGTCATAACTCGAGATTATTAATAACTTTGTAAAAACAAGTAGTTAAAATGGAAAGATCTGTCTATATTAATTTTTGGTTATTATTGTTGTTGTTCATATTCTTTTTTCATTTTGCTTTTTTCTTTTATCTTTTATCTTTTTTCTTTGCAAGCCATACGAATGGGTATGTACTTGTGCTAATTGAACATCACATGATACAAAGCCTGACCCAGATTCTACGGGAACCAATTACAAGTACACTACGTTTGATCTTTTGGCAAGAGAATGCACGTCCTACTTTTCTTATAAGTGAAGCGATTTTTATCGACGACAAATAGCAATTTCGATAAACTTTCAAATGCGCGTAGAGCGCGTGGATCTATAATCTGCCATTTTTAATAATTGGAAGCTGCGTCGTTAAGCGATTACGGTACATTGGCAAACGAAGCGATCCCATTGGGTGAGTAAGCATATGCTCGTCACTAATCGTCTGGCAATTATCGTCACCTTTTAATAAATTGACAAGATCGTGGAGGACAGCGTTGTACAAGTATTCGATGACATGGCCAATCGAGTTCGTTAATCCATCCTTAAAAAAAAAGTAATACCTTGTTAATGAGCTGGCCGTCGGCGGTATCACCGCTGTGGACGACGTCCTCGTCCTCGTCCTCGTCATCATCCTCCACCAACTCCTCCTCCCCCTCGTCGTTGTCGTCTTCGTCGTCATCGTTGTCGTCATCGTTGTCATCGTTGTCATCGTTAACATTATCGTTGCGATCATAGCCGTTATCGGTGCTCGTTCGTTCCGGCGAGGTAAAGTCATCAAAGTACCGTAAGAGCGCCGCTGATCTCGAAGAGGAGACGGAACCGAGAGACGCGCTACTCGAGCCGTGTACGAGGTGCCTGAAGAGGGGCAGTACGTCCTCGGTCTTGGAGCGCTCCTTCTGCCGCAGCAGGTCGCGCTTGTGCCTCTGAAGACTCTCCAGACTGCGATAAATGTCGAGCATACCCTGGGACTTGGAGAGGGACTTGAGGCCGTAGAGCTTCTCTCGCGAGCCGTCAAAGTGACAGCAATCGAGGGGATTGCCCTTCATCACCTGGTGATGTCTGTGATCGCGTTCCAATCGATGCCGGTCCTCCTCGTCACTCGAGCCGTTCAACAATGGCAGGCAAGCCTGGGACCTCGACTGTACCTGGCTGAGACCCCTACGCGAGAAGAAAAAGGTATTAGGATGTTTGTCGAGCCCCAGACCGCGCAACTCTTTGGTCCCCCTTAGCAAGAAGATGCGCACCCGAGGACGTCACCTACGTCGTTACGAAGCTATAATAATCTTTAATTAATAATAGCAGCAATTTCATATTTCTGTTTTGTTTTTGTTTTTGTTTTTGTTTTTGTTTTTGTTTTTGTTTTTTTGCTTTGTTCTTTTGCTTTTAAATAAAAGCCAACAAAGTTCTACGGATTGTTTTAATAGTCATTAGTTCTTTGTTTCGAGCTTTAGCACCGACGCCGTGAGACATCGACTAAAATCACCAACTAAAAGAATCGCGGCGCTTTTAAACATTGAATAAAAAGGAAAATTTTTTAATTCAAATTTTGAATAAGAAGGAAAAAATTGAAAAAAAAAAAAGGAAAAAAAATTTGCCGAATTGCTGAACCAACCTGATCTTTGACAGCAGACTGGCGCGATTCAAGCCCTGAGCCATGCTCGCCCTGAGCGACCTACGATCCTGCGCCTGATTAAGTAGCCCCTGCGTCTGCTCCTTGTTGAGCAAACAGCTCTGACTCATGGCGAGGCTGCTCTTGGAGGACGACACGGAATCGGCGAGGCTCGTCCTCGATGAGCTCGTATCCTGAACGCAGCTCTCGTAGTCTTCGCTACCACTCCCGGGAAGACTGAGACTCCCCCTGCTTCCCATCAATCCGCGACTCAGGCAGATTTCGCTCTGGCTCAATCCCCGTTGACTCGGCTCCATCGTCTGCTGCTGTTGCTGTTGATGTTGTTGTTGCTGCTGCTGCTGCTGCTGCTGTTGCTGCTGCTGTTGTTGCTGGGCCGTCTGGCTGAGGAGAGCGGCACGACGCAGATTCTCGCGGCTGACGACGCGCTCCAGCAGGACTTCCCGAGACTTGGACAGGTACTTGCGCAGGTGAGCCGAAGCCTGGGTCGGTGCACCCCGGAGCCACTCGTGACGCAGGCACTGCTTCGCCGACATACGTGCACTGCCGGAATGGAAATTGGCTTTTTCAAGGTCGCGATGCTTGCAACACCTTCCTCACATTAAAGTTCTGGGCTCGTAGTTCCTTGGATGAATTCATGGCTCGAGTGGATGATTTTGGGAAAGACTTGGGAAGGCTTTAGATCGCGTCGTGCTCGAGTCATCATAGCGCCGACTTTGTAATTAAAAGTATTATGTGCCTTGGAGGCTCCTGTTTCAACGTCAAGGAACACGACAAGACGAATGTTTGCTAATAATCGTTTAAGCTTTTGGCGTATTTATAAAAAGGCAAGACTTTCAAATTATATAATTATCGGCTGGGCCATAAATTATTTAGCGTATTGGAAGAATTTATGTTTAAATAAATTTAAAAAATTTATGCCCCCGCATTAAAGTACGTAACGCATATATAAATTCATTGGGTTAATAAATCTCTTACGAATGAGATACTTGAGGTTTCATGTCATTGATATATGCGGATGCCGGAAGAAAATCAATTTTACTTCTGCCAGTTGGCTAATTATTTCGATTAATACAAATATTAAAAGTATCGAGGTGATTTGTTATGAAATTAATCAAAGAGAGAGAGAGAGAGAGAGAGTGAGGGGGGGGGGGAGAAAAAGTTGTTTACGCATTTGCAATACAATAATATTACCATTATCTTTTATGGGGTTTAATTGGAAATTAATTATACCAACATTTCGATGAGTCGTTTAGCGTAGGCGTAGTATTGGCTCATTTTTTTTATTCTTTAATGGGTCCAAACGATCATTTTTGTATAGAAAATAATGAAATAATGCTCGCAGCTTTCATAGTGGCTGTTTTCTTATTAAGTCTTGCAAAATTTATGCTCGCTATTAACCAGATAAATTTATATGTAACATATATATATATATATATATATATTAATCATAATAAATTTAAACGAAAAATATTAAGACTTTTTCAATCTCCCATTGACAATCTTTTTATTTCTCTGCACTACGTACGCACTACAGCGGATATAATAAATTTACTTTCTCCATAAGTAGACACACGAGACATTTTGCAATAAATTTGGAATATTTCCCAGCTAATTACAAAAGACAATATTCGTATAGTCGACATTACAAAATGAAATCCAATGCCTTTTATACTTTTGTCAATAATCGCACGCGACAGCGGGGAATTTAATTGCAACTAAATCTCATAGAGCGCGATGACGCGCGTCTCTTTGATCTCTGGATCGTACGTAAATGAATATATCGTACGCCATGGAATATATTCGCGCGGGTTGGGCAACCTAGGCACCCCTTATTGTTACTGTCGATGTATAAAATCATTACCTTGGTTCAAGCACGAGGAGCTTCGCGACAAAGTCCTTAGCCTGGGCGGACACGTCCTCGAAGAGTTCTTCCGGGAAGTCGACCTGACCCAGTATGATGTTTTTGAAAGTCTCCTGGTCGGTCTCGCCGCCGAAAGGCGAGAAACCAGTTAGGAGAACGTACGTCGTAACACCTAGAGACCTAATCGGCACGTAGGTGAGCGCAAAGGAACAAAAACAAAATGATTCTTATGCTCTCGTGACGATCGATTAGTCACGTGTCTAATTGAAAAGGTTTGTTTGCGAATTTATGCAAATATTTAGCTTTGGAATTTAGAATTTGACGAGACAAAGCCTCTCGGCTTTCGTCCATCCAATGCGCAAACAAATTAAATAATCAAATTGAAATAATAATATTTAAGGAGCCCGATCATATTATTGCTAACTTTTCCTACAATTTATCAATTTTCTTTCAAATTGCAAAACATCGATCCTTGAAAATTTATGAACAAGAACAAGTAATGCATTGCTCTAAAATGTGTGTGTGCGAGCGTGCGCTCGCACGTGTGTGTGTCGCTTGGAATTATTTTTTCTGGTCTGTTATTAAGGATATACTTATGTCATCATTAAATGACTTGGTAAAAGAATTTTATTTTTGAAATTTGAATATTTTACGATTAATGTACGTCGAGGAATTTAATAATATTAATATTGTTAATTTTTTTGTTTTGTTTAAAGTTTGAATAGAATAAGCAATTGAGTTTGAATAATGTATAGGTTGTGTTTTTATTTTTTATTTTATAAATGATAAATAAATCATCGAAATATATAGAAGTCCACGTAGTTATTCGTCTATTTTCAAATGAGATGGATTTATATTTTATTAATATGATTTTATATTTATTTGAAACATGCCACGTGCTTTGAATATAAATTATTTAATTATGTCAAAGTGTCCCAGCGTTATACATAAATTAATAATCATTTTAACTTTATTGCCATTTGCCATAAAATAATTCATATGATCTTAATATTACCTCCAGTTTATATATATATATATATATATATATATATACACACTTACACTATTATTGATTATTTGCTTATTACCCTCCAATTATAAATTACATATGCTCCTTAGAATTACATTCAAATTATATAATCATCGATGTTGCAAATTTTTAATCCTCGGGCAAGCAAAAGATCCTCGAGTTTTTATCGATATCAATTGGTATGGCTTGCACAATATTCTTTATATTTTTGAAAATGCGATATGAAAATACGCCAAATTCTTTATTAGCATTACCCACGGCCATTTAACATAAATTATTAGCATAATCGATGATTATTATATAGATAAGCTCGTTGATAAAGTTTCGGCATAATTTACCACATATCAGCAGCTAATGTAATCGGCTCGTAATGAAGTATTTCAGGAGCTGGAACATAAAAGTGATTTGAAAATATATACGACGGAAGTCGAGAGCTGAAAAATTAAATATAAATATATAAACGAAGCAGAGAAAACATCGTTATGATTTTGCGCACGTCTGTATAAATAACGAGCGCGAGATATCGAATTGGCGATCTATCAAGCTCGAACAAGCGTGTGGTAACGATTTAGTTCTTATGTTTTATTTTAATTTATTTTTCCTTTCCTTTTTTTATTATGTAGTTTTTTTTTTTTTTTTTTTTTTTTTTTTTTTTTTTTTTTTATTGCTTTTCCTCTCTTGCTTCTTCATCTCGCGCTCCCTCGAATCTTCTTTGATAGAATTCAATATATTATTTACGCAGTTCTACGGAATAACTTTGCATTGTTAATGCGCAAAAAATGACGACGTTGTTGATTCCGTGGATGTCTTTTTAAGGACATTCGTAGCGTCGTGCATATGACCGTTGCTGAAGTTCGTCGAACCCCCATACCGGGGAGTGACGTATTATCTACGTTGTTTTGCACTCCACGAGGCATCCACCTTTTGCTTACCAACGTAATCAGGAGTGCCGAGGATCTCGCGGACTTCCGCGCCCTCGAGGACGACTCGCGATATCTCGAAGTCGCACAGCTTGACGTTGCAGTCCGGGAAGCTGCCCATCATTACTAGATTCTGCGGCTGGAAACACACATATTTCAAGAGAAGCTTGTTTCCCCGTGAATGAGGAGCGGAAGGGGAATGGGGGGAGGGACGGAGCGTATAAGGTTTTTATATTATACTATCGCTGTGTCACAAGAGTAATGATAATTATAATCATACTTGACACTAATTTAAATATATTATGCAGGATCCTACGGTAACGTATGATTGTCTTAAAAATTCAAAAATTGTGCTAATTTTTCTTTCGTTTCAAATCTCGGCAATTAATATTATGCAATTAGGCTTTTATACGATACCTCACAATTAATACATTTTTACTTTGATTATATTCAAAGGAAACTAACAACACATTTTCAATTTAGTGAGAACAGGTCTGCATTATTAATTTACGGCAAATAATTATGTGCTTCATTTTTTTTCTATTAATTTGTAAAATTTATATCAATATATGCTACGTTCTATATTAATCGTACACTAATTTAACAAAATTTAGTTATAAATATTTTCAGTTAAAAATATTGAAGAAACAAAAAAAAAACAATCTGTACGTTTACCAATGTTTATGAAAGTATAAAAAAAATATAAGTAATGAATTTATAATAATCTATATTACGGTGGATCCAACGTAGCATAATAAAATTCATCGTGACAAGATTATATGTAAATAGATAATTTGGTACAAAATTTATTCCAGTAGAATTATAGATATTCATTTAAATTCATTTATTGAATTAAAAAAAAAAAATTTAATTTGTAACATCAAACTTTCGTTAAAAAAAAAAAAAAAAAAAAACTTCGACAAATACAATTAAGAGTTATGTTAATCCGGCGCACATAAACGCGTACACACCCTCCCACATTGATATATTATTTTAATTCATATTTAATTTTTATTATTTTATTACACTAATAAAATGGAAATAGAATTTTAACTGACATGTCTAATGTAAGATTATTTTTCCAAATTGAACATGTTCGATCCTATCGTTCAAACACTTAGAATTCTTGTCATAATGTCGATATAATTGGTCGTGAATCATTCATAGTGCCTTATGTTAAGTAGTTATTTACTTTTCTATTATAATTCAAAGTATCGTGAAATATTTTTTTACTATTTAAATATTCGTACTTTTAATATTCGCTATTATTCACAATTTGACATATTCATTTTCATTATTAGTTGCTGAAAATGACAAATTCACAAATTCACATTGAATATATCAAAGAAAAATAATTGTTTGCACAAAATGATAGAATACGAAATGTCATCGCAGAAAAATTAAATGATATATTATAGCGTTAATTTTTATTATCCTTGATCGATACAAAAATGGCTTAAGAAACGCGATGGTTTTCGAAAATGCAGTTAACTAACCCTTGGGCTTGGATCGATGAAAGTGTCAATTATCTTATTTGTATAAGAAATTTCAAAATACCGATGTACATTATTGTAGATAATATCGTAAACATTCGTTACGTTTGTTTCCTTTATTTCTCATTATTAGAATTGCCATAATTTTATGCTCAATCGTTAATTACGGTATATGGAGCACAGAAAACATTTTGGAGAACAACATAAATCATAATTTAGTTGGTATCTTAAAGTTTTTGCGACTCTCTATTTTAGTAGAAAGTGAACTATACACTGTAAATATCAGTGCTTTTAATGGTTTAAAAAAATGTATTATGAATGATAAATTTTACGCGTATTTAAATATATAATTGAATTTGATATTTAAATTTAAATTGTGAAAATAAATTGTTACCGCTGATACGAAAGTGTTTAAACATTCTTATCACAATTACCTCAAGATAATCCTTTAACTAATTATATCTAAATTAATCTAATTAAATATCTCCAATATATTTAAATTATTGAACGAAATTTAATAATAATATAAATTCTAATTTCCATTATAAAGATTTATGCGACAAATGTAACGCTGGCGGCGTTCTTAGCTCTGCACACAAATTTTCTCCGTAGAAAAATATTATTTAAAAAGAGACGGTCACCTTACCCTAAGAATTCCTTTGTAAAACGATATTATAAAGGCCTGTCGCATTAGACTATAATTCATATCGCTAACATAATATAAGCAAAGCTAATAGGAAGCTTAATATCGAGGAGAGCAACTCGATTCTATGTAAAAAGGAGAAAATATCGGAACACGAGACGACGCTGCACGACGAGCTGACGATAAACAATAGAAATTGCTTAGCTCAAGAGGTCCACAAAATTCGATCCAGGAAAAAAGCGCGAGATGAACGAGGGCGAGAGCGATCCTCCCGATAAGCGCATCAGTGTAAAAGAGCGAGCAGCCAGGTCGTGAGGACTCGCGGAGAAAAAGTGGCGGCGGCGGGGGCGGCGGCGGCTGCGACGAAGGTGATGGAGAAGGAGGTTGAGGAGGTTGAGGAGGTTTGTGGAGGTTTGTGGAGGTTTGTGGAGGTTGAGGAGGTTGAGAAGGAGGAGGAGGAGGAGGAGGAGGAGGAGGAGGAGGCGACCGAGGCGAAAGTTTAATAGCACTCGGGCGCGTGAGAAAACACATCGTAACGACATCTCGGGCAGCCTCCTCGATGCTGGTGAGCAGCTGCTGCTCGGACCTTTGCCGACTCGGGGGACCTTGACGCGCACTTCCATCTACACATGTACGGTCTGCGTGGGTGATCTTGAATATTCGAAAATACTTGACACAATGAATAATGGACCGAGCGACGCGTGAAAATACATGCTGCAGCGCGGGGCCGCCCATGGTTATTCGGCCGATGATGCTAATCGCCGCTGCCAATTTCGGTTGGCGCTTCTACACTAGCGAACGCTAATCGCTCGTGATAATTTTAATCGATAAACGCACGCGATGCGAGATACGGATGTGTGTACTGTGCTCCATTTGGAGCTTGTGAGCTCTTTGAGATTTGTCGATCGCGAAGGAATTATGAAGGCTCGAGATAAAATCGTCCGATCTGGATTTTAGTCTGGAGGATAAGATGTCGACAAAGCCAACAAATGATTAATTCTTCAACATTCGCTTGTTTCGATGCTCCGTAATCATTTATCTCTGAGCTCAATAGCATTTAACCATTCAGAGAAATATCTTTTGATAATTGAGAAATATTTAGTCGAGCCGAGTCACTTGTATTTTCATTCAAAATGCACGCGTTTCATTGAGGTAAAGAAACTCTGCTCAGACTACGCTTACTTACGTCTCGCCTCTGCATTTTTATACTTTCATTTTATAAAGAATAATTTTTTGTCTCTTGCATCTTGAATTGCAAATATATGCATCTTAATCTGTAGCAATAATAATAACAACAGCGATAATAACAATAAAAACAAACGACAAACAATAAAGATAACAATAAACAACGGCAAAATCAGCAGTAATGATAATAATGATAATAATGATGATGATAATAATAATAGAAATAATAAAGTAAGGAGAATAATGACAAACACGCTCCATGTCGGGTAAAATTAGATAGAAGCTGCGTAAGAATGTAAAAGCGTGTTGTAAGAAGCCGTTGGTATCGCCTAATGGCCCTGTTAAAAGATTCAATTTCCATTGTGCGCGAACGTACCTCCGTTTCCACGAAATTACGGTACTTCGCGCCCACCCCAATGTTCGAGTGCACCCGATATTACCCTATTAGTCCTTTGGTCGTAGTGAAGGCGCGTAATGATCGGTTTGCGGCCACGGCGGCTGACACACGCACTCGATTGAGATTTACCGCAGCGAGCCGATTTCAGCGTATGTCGTCACACTGATAGTGGCATATCCGTGCCATTTCAAATGTAATGAAAGCGCTTGTCTTTTTGCGTATATCGACGTTATAAACGACGCAACGATATCAGGACTGACGGCGACGCGCGCTCTGATTTCATTTGTTAATAACCTGCGCCTGCGAGTATTGTTGCTCGCGTATGTAATAAATGAAGGATCCCTATAACTGTCCTACTTTTTTCATTTATTCTTATATATATATATATATATATATATATATATAAGGACATGGGTGGAAAAATATGTGAATTTAATTCTACGTATCGACAGTCTTTATAAACGACTGGATATTTCAATTTCAATATTCAACTGACGATACTATAACACTTATTTTTAATATATTTTAAATACAAATCGTAAGTAAATTTATAATATTATAATGCATTACAATAAAAATACATGATTCATCAAGCAGAATATTTCTTTAGAATTTTGTGAAATTGTATTTATAAAGTTGGATTTGCAATGTTTCTAGCAATTTGCCGGCGGTGCAATGAACGAGAAGATTTGCAAAAAAAAAGAAAGAAAAAAAATTCAGTTAATTATATAAATTCAGCGTTGAAATGAAAAGTCCATTTGCACAAATTAAAAAGCGAATTTCTAAACAGAAGTTTTTAATAATACATTATTATTGATAAAGTGGAATTATATGAAAATATGCATTGCGACAATAATAATGAAAACGGGAATAGCAAAATTGCAAGCATTATTTTGTAACTTCTTCGTCATTTCGCTGAAATAAGCTTGTTTGATGAAACTTTGTATTAATAATAATACGTTAACGTAAGGAATATAACGTTCTCCCATGTATGAATTTCACATACATTTATTTATAAACATATCACTTTTATATAATGATGTACCTGTTTGGAAAAACAAAAATTATCCTCTTACCGTCTTAAAGGAAGCAGAGCCTGATCACAGTATTTTAACATAAATGGTAAGGTTTGCATTAAATTAAGTCGAGTTTGATGATTTCGAATTTGAGATTGTCCGTGAGCGTTCATAATATTTACTCGTAAGAATGGTTATTTTTTGTCTCAGTGATCAACGTAATACGCGATTCTATTCCATCGACACTCGCTCGATCACGTGGTACGTTGAAACGTATGAACGCCGCGTGAAAAAATTGACGAGAAACTAGAACAAAAGGTTCGAGAGTGAGTTGCTCTATGTAGCGATTGGTAAAAGTCTCGAGACATTGCGATAAACATTGCGATAATGAACGATCGTCACAAATCCATAGAACAACGAACCCAAAGGAAGGACAAAGGCATTCCGAGCCTAATCAAGCGAAGCAGCTCCTTCCGCGCATCCTCGAGGTCGTTGACGCGCCCATCAGCCTCCAGGAAGCCCGCGATCCACGGTCGATATTTGCGCGAAGCGTGCTGACCTCCCTTACACCCCCCTCCCCCGCCTAACATACGGAGCGACCTCGACCCTTGGGTGGAGAAGGAGGAGGAGGATGAAAAAAAGGAGGGATAGGAATAGTAGTAGTAGTAGGAATAGTAATAGCAGTCATAGTGGTAGTGATAGTGGTAGTGGCAGTAGTAGTAGTAGTAGCAAGAGCAGCAGCATCCACGACGAGGTCATCCCGAGGAAGGATCCTCGGCCTCGGCGAAAGAGAAAACCAACAGGGCCAGGAGAGGGAAAGTTATGTGCCGACTACACGACAGGATATCATTATATCGGTAAGGGGGATTTGCTGGCAACGGTAGTGCACCGGGTGCGGCTTATCTCCCGATCGGGATGTTACCCAGCTTTTGTACCTTCCTTCCTTGCGTCGGCAGGGTTTCTTTATCTCTTTCTGCAGCCAGGAGCGCGCATTGATCCTTCGACTTTCAATCGAACCAATAAAATACTGTAAACCTACTCGACTGCATTTACATTCTATATGCCATTTATGTATGTGTGCGCGCGTGCGCGTGGTATACAAATGCGATCTTATTGAAAAACGAGAATCTCGCGCTACCATGGGATTGAGTCATTAAGATTGCGGAATTATACGCTCGCTTTATCGCTTAAAATTAACGAAATGCATTTCCGCCTCGCGGATTTCTCCATTTAATTGTGAGAGGACGGGAGAACGGCTGGCACTATCCTTGTCTAATCGAGCTCATTGTCCGACAAGTGCGCCAACGCAGCGGGATTCGAGCTCCAATTTTACGGCGGATAATCGATACGCGCAAGCGGAGAAATAGCATTTTATTGCTTCATCGTGGAATAAGCTCCGGGATATCAAAGATGCAGCATTAACTCCCAAATACTCGGATTCCCAACGTCATTTAAAAGCCATGCAATAATGCCTGATTTACGTACACGCGAGTATTAAACCTCGAGGTGAGCAGTTATTCATTACAATAATTACTTTTTGAATTAGTCGCGGAATACAAGAGGGCAGCAATGTATGTGCCTGTTTTTCGTAAATTGCGAAATAAAATTGAGGAGGAGCGCCGGCCTCCTCGCCACGACAATCACGGCATCGAGCATTATCATTCTTCATATCCCGAGAATGCTCGCTCTCCCGGCTGAAAAAGAGCGAGACACTTGCCCACGGAGGTACGACCATATCCCTATAATTAAGTTTTCGATGAATCGCGCGTCGCCTCTCGATCACCTCCACCCGTATCGCCGCACCGCCCCTTCCCCACAATCCAGCCACGTCTTTAGACAATAAGAGCTCGCGCGAGTCAACGTTCGAGCGAACCGGAACAAAATGCGCCGAGCGTCCTGCTTCTTTTTTTTTTTTTTTTTTTTTTTTTTTTTTTTTTTTGCGCGCACTCGCGCGAATTCCAAACAGACGCTCAAGGTCGTAGCGCGGAGAGAAGCGAGTTGAATATCGCGGGCGCATCTCCGCTGCGTTTCGGCAAGCAAACATGGCCGTTCTTCCGCGTGCGTATTTTTTTACTCCGAGGCGCTCCTTAGCTCCGGTAATTAGCCGGACGGGCAGCGGCCCCTTTGTCCCGTTCGCCGCCTCGTTCCGGGAACGTCGCCGCTATAAGAAGACGCGCTATTCCGCGGCGCCGCGCCTTTTACGGAGCGAACTTACCTTGATGTCCAAATGGGCGATATTTCTTTCGTGGAGGTAGGCAAGTCCCTCCACTAGCTGCCGCACAAAGTGGATCACGTCACCTTCCAGAGGCACCAAATCCCCGTCAATGAGCGTCTGCAGGTCGCCGCCCGGCGCGCTGCAAGCGTAATTAGAAAATAAGCTCGGACCGGTAATGTTATGCCGCTGGCTGGGAAAGCCCAGGCTCTCTCGGCTTTTTCTCGGCCATTCGAAATTACTACGTTAATAAAGGGACCTGGCGCGAACCTGGTGCTCGAACAACCTTATTTCATGGGGCCGCTCGCGACTGCCCCTCGACCTCTCGCTGCCGCTTAGCTCGCGCTTTACTTTACTTCGGAGCATCGTAAAACGCCGTTTATATAAGGATCGAATACATTTGGTAGAAAGGTCGCGCTAAGCGTAGGATAAGGCTTTAACGAGCTTTTTCTACAATTTTTCAGTTGAGTCGTAAATTGCTGGTCTTTACGATTTGCCAAATGATTTTCAGACGTATTTTAACCAAACACTCCTTATCTATTAACGACGACAGTATACTCTCTCTCTCTCTCTCTCTCTCTCTCTCTCTCTCTCGAAAATTGGAGTATTAAAGAGTAAAAAAATCCTTAAAGGTCGCGGTTTGTCAAGTCTCGCGGAGATTAATGTTTGCTTAAATTTTAATTTTATATTAATGATATTTTTAAGGTGCAGGCGAATGCTGAAGTTTGAAGGCTTGAAGTCCAATTATAATTTTAGCCTACATGATTTACTTTAATTATGCTTTATTCGTGTTATTATTATCGAGCGACGTAAAAGTATTTTTTATTTTTTTTAAACCGAAGATGAATACTTCAAATAATTAATTATTTTTTATGACGATGCTTATAAGCTTGGAATTACAGTGAATATCCTTGCTAGTTGCGTGAATGGCAAATCAAAATTTATTATACCACAATTTGACCATATTACATAATCTTTCTCCTCGCGTTAGATTATAATATTTTCGACGACTAATAAACAAGCATATAAAATTTGCAATTTTGTTTCTATTTTTTCTTGTTTTCTTACATAAACGAAAAAAAAATTTAATTATCGAGAATCTTATATTTCATGCGATACTTTCTATATATTGGATCTTGGCAGGATTAATAATTTAATTAGCAACCTTCAGCATATTGAAATAATAAATCTAAATCGAATATTTGCTGCTTTCTCCAATTACTAATTGTAAATTATAAATTTCATATAAAATTAGATATATTTTCTGCGATAACTACTCAGAGCTAAATAAATTATTACATTTTTGAATAAATTTGCCATACTATATGTACTATATCTTGTCTCTTAACAGTGAAGCTGAAAAATCATTTACAATCAAAGATAAGCCAAGGGCGCAAAAATACTTTCCACGTCTTTCTCGCACTCGTAAGCGCAACACTGTTCAAGTCGATATTTTTGTGAATCATCATTATTTCTAAATGATTTCTAAAAATTAATTTTAGAAATGCGGCTATGAAAATTATGGGCTCCGTTAGTTACTATCGAACGTGCAATTATTTGCAAGTTATATGCAGATCAACACATTTATTCTCATCGAAAGATACCGTTTATTTTCTTATGACTCAAGTTCTGCATAAAACGTTGCACTGAAAGTTCATAAATTATTCATTGTTTTCAACATTGATAGTGAGCTTTAATGATTTTGTTACGTGTTTATTATTTAGCATGTTAATAATGTAATTGGATATAACGTGTAATCAGCGTGGTTTGGAATACAAATGCTAATTGAATCAATGCGGCTAGTAAAAATGTAATTGTATGTACACTGATTAAGCTCGAATTTACTTATAATGTCAACCAACCGCAGTTATATTGTGCAAGATTTTCTGTATTTTTCTTTCCTTTTGCCTCTCTAATCAAGTGCAGTGGGGGGGGGGGGACGTACTATCTGGAATTATAAATATATTACAAATTATTGACCTACATTATCCCGAACACGTCTCATGATAATTCATTAAATCAAAATAGTATATTTTATGGTATTTATAGTAGAATAAAAGAGATAGTTAATATATATATATATATATATATACTGCTCTAGAAATATAGAATAAAATTAATTATACAAGCGGCCATTTTGACTAATAAGTATATTTAGCATCTATTCAATTTATCCTCGGCATCACTATCTAACCAAGTTATAGTCAAGTATAAGATAGTCACTTTATAAATGAAGGGCAAGTAGAATATACGATTACACATGAGTAATACGAATAATCTATGAGCAATACGAGTGCTTATAATGAAACAATACTTTTAAGTTAAAACTATTGACTGAAACAACGTGAGATTAATCATGAATTTCTTTCGAATAAAAAATTAAAATACGAGATAGCTCTTCGACCGGATATATAGACGACATATTGGGGAAATAAAAAGATGAATAAAGATCAAGATATTGAGCTACATAAAATGTTCATAGTTAACGTAGGAGTATTGCGAGAAGTTATGTCTATAGATATAACTCGACATTACGGTATATAAAAAACAAAGTAGTTAAGAAACTTGAAGATAAATCTTACCGATTAGAGTTTTCTTTTTTTTTCTGCTTTCTTTTTTTTTCTTTTTCATAACGGAAAGAATCACTATGTTTAAAAAGAACAATTTTTTTTTTCAATTTAAACAGATACATTTATGAAAAACAATTATTTGTTTGTTTAAAATACTAAAAGTTATATATATATATATATATATATATATATATATATATATTCATATAGATAATTGAGATTAAAATTAATAATTATCTTGTACCTAAGATTTGTAAATATCGAGTAAATTTAAGCTTCTGTCTAATATAAATCGATTGTACAAAGTTCAAATTATTTACTAATTAAGAATCTGATTTTGAAGAGCATAAGTATTTAATAAGAAATTAATATTTTCAATGGCTACGATTTTTGAGACAGCATAGATATAATTTTCAATTCGAATTATTTCTAATATTAACAACAATCGTAATCTCATTCATAAATATTATTGAAATCAAACCAGCGTAATAATAAAACAGCTTGAAAAAGAAAAACTGATTGGTATTAAATGTAAATCTAGATTATCACTTAAAGGATAAAATTATATCAATGAAATAATCTAAAATTATGAAAGATATAAAACACGTATCAACAGCTGAGCAATTAAAATAGAAAGGAATAGAAATTTATAGATAGATAAAAATTAATAAGTAGAACGTAAGTATAATTTAGCATAAAAGATTATAACTTAAGTCAAAACTAGTTTAATAAAAGATTAGTAATTTAGTAAAGGATATAAGTAATTTAGTATATGCATGAATAAATTTAACAACGATCAATTTGAAAATTTATTTACTATTCATAATTATTAATTGAAACGAATTATGCTGTATTATATATTGCCAAATAGTGTTTGTTAAAAATTGCTTTAAATAAGTAGCGGGGAATTAATAAAGCTAATAGAACAAAATTTATGTGATTAATGAGATACTAAGTTTAGTTGTGATAATAAAAAATGTTTTTATTATTATTTAATATTTGAAATTATAATTGAAATATAATTATTGGAATCATATTGAAAATATAAAGCTTGAAATTATATTGGAGATATCTCAATATTTATACTTAGTCCAATATTTTATTAACGACGATTATTAATTAAAAAGTATATAAAATAAATACAAAATTACAAATGTAAAAAAATTCAAAATTCTAATTAAAATCTTATGATGCATACATTTGTAATTTCAATTATCATATTAACGATTATTTTGTGCATTGACACGTTATGTGTATTGATAGCAGTAATTCCCAATTACACATAAGTAATGTTCCACAAACAACATGCGATAGATATTTATTATATTTTTCATTCAATTAATACATGGAATTCATAATTAGATTCACTGGTGAAAGTATAATAAGAGTTATTTAAGGTGGCGCAAGTTAATAAATAATATATCGTAGAAATGACTTGACACGACGACGATAAAGAAATTATTAATTGTCGAATATAAAATCTCTATTGAGTATCGGAAAAGAAATAGAATTCAAATTAAGCGAAGAAACAATGTCGATTAACCCATATCGTTTAAAAACGCAGAAAGTTTTGAGTTTTGCTCGAAGCTTAGACAATTTCTTATTAATTGAAATACAACATTTGAGAAATACATTAAACACAAATGGGAACTTCGTCACACAGTCGATTTAATTGGATGGACACAATTAAATTGTGTAGATTACGCTAAGCAATTCAATGTTAGGAAGCAAAAAATATTATTACTTATTATTGATCCAATTTAATGCTCCAAAAATTAAGAATAAGTAATAAATGAGATAATGATGATGATGATGATGATGATGATTATTATGATGATGACGACGATGACGATTAAACAACAACAAGCGATAATAAATATTATTAGTAGCAGTAATTGCAATATATTAATATTATTCTCTTTAAATTAGTAGGAAGCTGTTAGACATTATACGAGTGTATAGGGCATTTAAAATTGAAATTATCTATAATTGCTCATAGTATCACACATACTAAACTGACCAATATTTTCTCAGTGTATATTTAAATAGTAATTATCAGTTATTAAATTTGAATAAATCATTAAACTGCAATGAAATCAATTTACATAAATTATGATATGCATTATATTATCGAAGCTGCGTTTAATAGATCTTCGGCGCATTAGTCCACTAAAGAATAATAATTGCAAAGTATAATCGAACAATTTTATTACAACGGTCATTTGAAAACTCACTCCACGTATTGGATAACCATTATATTACAGTTTCGCTACATCTTTACCAAATGTTTTTTAACGTTAGTGCAAAATAAGCACACGGATTGTGATTTTACATCAACATTTTGTCACGGAGGCTGTCAAAGAACTATCGACAAAATAATAATCTCATACTATAACCCAAAATTCTCATCTTCCATTGGATGCAGCTAAAACTATTTTGTTATCCCCGTAATATCGATGATAGGGAAATTCACCTCTGCCCCCTCCCCTTCCCCCTCCGCCCTTAACAATCAACGACTCCTCTCCGTCGCGCCGATCTCGTCCTCTAAGCCTCGCGACAATGCGAAACACGTGCACGCGCAGAACGAGCGCCCGCGCACTCGGCAAAATTTCATCCGCAACGATTTACAAGGCACGCGCGCGCGCTTACCCACTGAATAAGAAGCAAAAAGCAAACGTCGACGCGTCATCGCTATTCGCGGCGCTCGGCAAAAGATCTCTCGAATCTCGAAGCGACTTATCTAGCTCGAGAAACTGCCTGGAGACTTACTACTCCATGACCATGATGATCTCTTTGGGCGTCTCGTAAACGTCGTGGAGCCTGACGACCCGCGGTGACTGCGAGCAGAGCGAGAGGAGGGCGATCTCGTGGCGCAGCTCGGAGCTGCAATCGGCGTTGAAGCGGCTCCTCGAGGAATATTTGGCTGCGTAGACGATGCCCGTAGAACGCGAGCGGCACTTGTATACCCTGGCCCATTGTCCACTGCAATTCATTAAAGACGATTAGTTATTCGAGGTAGGGGATGTCGATGCTCGACTACTGTGAGCTCAATGTAAGGGCAGAGGGTGTAGTCGCGAGTGGGGGGGGGGGGGGAAGTTTCGGATTCTATTGGCTCGATTGGTTGGATCGTTAGTATTGCCATGATTGTTAGATGCAAGGCGTATGTTTGGATTGGATTTATAACGAGGGACAGTTGATGGAATTGAGAATGATGGACAGGCTTAATCTTATTGGCTTACGATGCCTAAGAGCACGTGCAGCTGTTTAGCATTTGCGAAAGGAGTCGTTGCGTTTTATTTAAATGCCTTTAATTTTGATTCTAATGGCACTTCGCGACCAGTTTTATTTATGATTAAATTTTCAATGTTCCTTCTTCTTGAAATTAACTGTTTTGTATCGGCTTGCTAGACAAAAATAATGGTTGAAACTTTAGATCACTGGATAATTATAAGTATTGCGTCAGAGGCATTTAGCTATTCAAACACAATAAAGATTTTTCAAAGTTTTAATAATCATGGAGCGAGCGAATTGCGTTGCTTCAAAAAAAAAAAAAAAAAAAAAAGAGTAAAGTATTCGCCATTTATTTAATTAAATTTACATTGGTCGCTTAAAACTTGTCGCTTGTAATTAAAATATTATATTCTTAATGTTCAATATATTTTGAATGGACGTTTGTGTATTGATTTATTAATCAACTATAATTTTTTGCTTTTAATACTTTTATCAACACTTAAGGTGCTTGGAAATGTATTTAAAAATTGTCCTTTTCAAATGCACGATTCAAACATTAATTTGAAAAAAAATCTTGAAAATATATACTAATCAGTGTGTGAAATTAATGCGATCCACATATATGTCATAAGATCACTCTATAATGTGAAAATATTATAAAAATTCATAATTTACCTAATGACATTTTCCTTTAAATAATTGAATTATTAGATTAGAGTAACCTTTTGTAATGTCACAATGACATCAATACTCATAAAAAATAAACCTTTCCACTTTTACATCTATATATTCGCAAATTTAATAAAAATTGAAACAAGTTTTTGTATAATATCATATTTATTAAGCTGCAGTATTAATATCATATGTTATGCTAATTTTCAAAATCTACATTGTCCGCTGTACATATTATATTACTTTATAGTAATATTCATACCGATATTTTATGTAAAATAAATAATTCTTTCAATGACTTCTTGTGCTTGAATTTATATGTAAAATGATGACCTCTAAATTTTTCTAGAGTATAAATGTTCGAAATTATCCAATCGATTCAACAAGAATTATAAATTGAATACGTACTTGAATATTAGCATTATTATAGAAAAAAAAAAAAAAAAAAAAAAAAAAAAAAAAAAAAATAATAATAATAATAATACAGATATTTATCGGTAAATTTACTAAAATATCAACTATTATTCTTCGATTATTCTTCGACGTTATTGTCATAAAATCTAAATATTGTTGGAAGTTGGTTATGCACACGTGAAAGGATAAATTCATTTCAATGTAAGACTGTGCAGCTAAATAATAAAAACTTGGATACAAAGTTCTTTACTTTCATTGTTCGGTCAAACACTGTTTCCCCAACAATGAATTAACGTACTTTGAAATTGCCGTTTATAATAAAGTTCGTTTAGCATACCAACACAACTTTCTCATTCCCAAAGTTATAAAATTCAGTTTAAGAAAACATTATTCATGATATAATAGTCTATAATATTATATACATATCAGTATTCAGAGTCTTTTAATTCTCGCGACAAAGCGTTTCACGTGCATTTGCGACTCCGTTAAATACGAGCCTTTTGACGTTATTTTATTCCATCGCAAAAATTCAACAAATTGCCTTGCTTACATAAAGAAGAAATCAATTTTTATTTACGCAGGCGAAAAATGTACGATTGGCCGTACGTAAAGTCAATGTTGACCGATAAAAATAATTTATCATGTTCATAATTTTCCGTAGCGGGCGCTTCGGCAGTTTCATGAAATTAATTATACGGAGGAAAAATATCCGAAAAAGGCACTGTGATTTTAATCGACTTGCATGCGCGCGAGTCTTACACGCGTGCGATGCAAAACAAAGAAAGAACGGGGGAGGGGAGAGGTGAGGCGAAAAAGTAGAAGAAAACGATGAAGAAGAAGAAGGAGAAGAAGAAGAAGAAGATGATGATGATGACGATGATGACGATGATGACGATGATGACGATGATGACGATGAAGGAGTAGAGGAAGAAGAAGAAGAAGAAGAAGGCGAGTAACGAAGATAAACCGAGGAAGAAACGACGGCCGAAAAAATTGATTTCTTACATTATCGCAATCAGCCACCAGACTGCACAACATGGACTCGTAAAACCTCGTCTTATTTGAAACCCG